CATCACCTTTTCTTCAAAGTGAGACCAATATAGCAACCTGGTTTTGTCAAGAACTACTTTTTAGGCTTTAGTCATTAAATATACCATGTATTGAAAACATATTATTTTAGGCAAGAGATTTTTATATAACCTGTGTGTTCCTCCATCAAAATTCAACTGATACCAATTTACAGTAAACTTTCGGTAAAGAAATGCCATGTGAAAGGGAAGAAAAGTTAATGCCATTATTTGTGATAAAGGATTCTAAAAAAATAGTATATATCGTCAGTGAAGAGCCACTGTGATGTATTGGTGAATTTGGATTTAACTTTGATATATTTGCATACCATATTTGTTCACATTAAATTTATAGAAATAAGCTAGCTCAAGGTAATATGTGACAGTTTGGCCGAGTGGTCTAAGGCGCCAGATTTAGGCTCTGGTCCGAAAGGGCGTGGGTTCAAATCCCACAGCTGTCAAAAATCATTTTTTCTCTTCCTCCAAACAACCCATTAATACCATTTTCTCTGCAGCCAAACAACCCTTTCTCCCCTTCCTCCAAACAACAACCTATACCATTTTTACTTGGCACACCCAAACAACCCCTTTTTTCCCCTTCCTCCAAACAACAACCTGTACCATTTTTACTTGGCACACCCAAACAACCCCTTAATACCATTTTCCATACAACCAAACGGCCCGCTATTGGAACTTCTGGAACCATTCAACAAGTGGAAGATCGACACTGAGTGCTTTTGGCCAGTGCTGCTTAGAGTGCGCCCATATGTATGGTCAAAACCGTGTTTTATTTATTTATTTGTTATTATTATTATCGAAAATTGGTCAAAAACGGTGTTTGACACCCTATACAAATTATATATTTTAATTATTTTATGGAGTTGTATTTTACTGGTGCACACTGCACACTGCACATGGTCCAATTTGGCATGGTTGCTAAATAAGAAGCCGACCGATTTCAATGATAAAAAAGATTGAAATCAAAATCAGAAACGTTGACACTTGGAACCCGGTTCCAAACCATGATTTTTTTTTTTTTTTTTTCTTTTTATATTTTCATTTTAACCTTTAAAAAAAAAAAAAAAAAAAAAAAAAAAAAAAAAAACAATAATTCACTATGAAGCACATAGATTAGGCCTATCAAAACAAATATAAGCTATACAACAAATGAGTAATAATAAATCTCTCGATCGATAAATAAAATATATTTGTGATTTAAAAGCAAATGTGTTATCATTAATATTTGTTGACTTTAAAACTAATTTTGATGATCACAAACCATTAATGATGTTTTAAGGGCTAATATTTGCTTTGAGAACATAGGTTCGCCATTTGAAGTTTAAAAAAGAAGTAGAAAACAAGAAAAGGCAAAACCAAGCTTCATTCCATGCAGCCAAGGGTAAAGGAAGACAAGTCATTCAATCCCAAGCTTCAAAAAGATGAAACACGGAGAAAAAAAATAATCAAGATCGGCGATTCAAATGGGGTAGATAGGTTTGGTGAATTCTTTAGATTTAAATGTCAAAGTAGTATATGGAATTCATGAAGCTCACATCCTAAGAACATACATCCATCATTTTATAATTATTTGATTCAAATAACATCATACATAGCTCCCAACATGACTTTGAAAACCTAGCACAAAAAAATAGAGAAGGAGGTTCACATTTAAGGACTTTCGGCCGACTGAATTAAGGCATCAGCCGGCTGACAGAGAAAATTGAGAGTTAGGTTTTGGCCAACAAACGTTTCGGCCGACCGAACATGAGGGTTCAGCCGATCGACAAGGGTTTTACGAAAAATAATTTTTATAATATATGCATCGGTAGACCGATTTAATACATCAGCCGACCAACAAGAAAAGGTCTCAAAAACAGAGAGTTGAGTTCTTAAACCCATCGTTTCGGCCGATCAAAGATACTCCATCAGCCGACCAACACAGAGTCAAAATCAAACGGCTACCTACAAACTTGGACTATGCACACCTCATCTCTAACAGCTATATTGTGTTCCTCTCTCTATAAATAGAGGTTGCAGCTTGTTATAAATGCACAACTATTGAAGAGCATTCTAGAGATTATTCAAGAGCATTCAAGTTCTTATTTGTTCATTTACTCCATATCTCTTACTTTCTCGTATCATCTTAGAGATTTGAGCTTCATTTGATTCATATATCTACTCTAGTTGTGAGCTTACATTTATACATCTATCTTAAGATAAATTCTACCTTGTATTTCAAATATATACATTGCTACAAACTTGTAAGGGTTGATGTGACCCAAAAGAAGCGTAGGAGAAAGGTGTTCTCCTAACAAGAAAGAGAAGCAAAGATTTGTTTCATGTGAATGTTTGCTCTCCACCATTAAGGAGAAGCTCTAGTGGATTGGAAAGTCTCAAGAGGGATCTTAAGCCGTGGAGTAGGAGTTTTCAAGCCTCACTAAAATCTCCAAGTCATTGTTTACAATTTCTTTCCCTATCTCTCTTACATTTATGCTTTGAATTGCTTGTCTACCTTAATTGATTATTCCATAATTGTTAATTGGAATTTATAGTTGCAAAATTAAGAAAATTGGCTATTGACTCTATTCACCTCCTCTCTAGAATCAATTAGTGTTTAACAATATTTTTTTGTGTGTAACAAATATGAAATTTAGAAATAAAAAATCATTTAAAAGTAGTCTTATCTTTGTGTGTAATCTAAAAAATATGTATTGTTGTGTACTTATTATTGTTTTATTAATATTGTAATATATATATATAGTTTACGATTTGGCTCGGTTCTAAAGGACTTGGAATCGGAACCATGGAATCGGAATCAAGATCAAAATCGTAAATTAATGGTTCCTCGTTTTAAAATTAAAACTAAAATTGAACCATAAAAGAATCAAATCGAATCGACATTTCACTGCAATGATTTTTTTTTCACCCCTAACATTTACACTCCAATTTTGCATGTTGTTTTGGCATTGTTTGGATGTTTATGAAGCACTTTTGCATTTTAGAGCTGTCAAATCCATAAATTTTAATGATAATTATAAAGTTGTGCTTTATAACCTAACCAGACGACATTGGTCACTAATTATTCTGCATTTTGGGTTTTCATTATTAGTTACAAAATGCAAGATAATAAGAACAAACGATAATTATGAATTAATAGAAGTGAACAATTTTTCTGCATATCTATAAAACTAAAACCTTCAATGAGAACACTTAGCTAAAAATTTCAAAATTTTCATCGAGGTGAATGTATGTTGTGTGATTTTGTATAGTATGACTGTATGACATGATTTAAATATGTGTAATCTTATATTGTAATGGAATTTTGAGAAGTTTAGCTAACTTTTTTTATTTTGGTCAAGAAATACAATTACATACATTTTTCTCTTACCAAGACTTGGACCTTCATAATTGAATTCATTGCAAGTGCAATGTAGGTTTTTTATTTGTTTCAGTTTTCGGGAAAAAGAAATCTAGGTCTTTTATTTTTTATGGGTACCCTCTGGCAATTTAACTTTACTTTGCAGCGTTTGTTCATGTAATAAAATTATATCAATTAAAATAGATTCTAAGGTTAATTGCACTTGACGCTCATGTGATATGTTTAGCGGGCATATTGACCCCTCATGTACACAAAACACTTTTTACTTTTAAAATTGTGCAAATCGGTAAAGGAGTATAAGACATCCTCCCTCCCTCTCTCTCTCTCTCTCTCTCTCTCTCAGCCTCAGCGGGTGAAGTAAGGAATCGCCACAATAGTGGTCGCTATGACCGTTGCAGTGGCGGTGAAGATGGTGACTTTGTAAATTTAGGAATCTAAACATGAGTTGGTAATTTCCGAAGGAGAAAAAGACAAAAGGGACGTATTATAATTACTTTAGATTTGAGGTAATGTTTTTGCCTAATTACTAAATTATAAAAGTGTTTATAGCACAATTTTAAAAATAAAAAATACAAAAATGTTCTCATAATATATGAGTCTTGTACTAAATCTTAGATTCTATTATCTTTTTTCTGATATGAAATTATTACACTATATTTGATTACTACATTGAAAAAAAAATAATAATAATAAAATAAGATTACTACATGAATTTTTCTAGAACTACTTCGTATATTCTTTCTTTTTTTTTTTTTAGTTAAAAACTACTTCGTATATTCGATAAGTAGTAAGTGCATGAATTTTAGAAGATCATGTTCGCATTATTCCAAAGCTTATAAGGTCCAACAAAATTAACCCGTTTTTAATGGTTAACCGGGTTCAAAATACAACTCTTTTTTTAACAACCCTTCAGAAATCGTCTCTCTCTCTCTCTCTGTAATTTCCAGCAAAATCTCCATCATTCTGCTCCGCTAATCCGCCGCCAGCCACCTCCTCCAACCCCATTCCCAAACCTAAAGTTTAAATGTGTCCCTCACACACTAACCGTCTGAAGCGTCTGATTATAGCAAGTTGCAAGAGAAGGAAAAAGAAAACCGGAACGGAAGGTGAATAATCAAGCTAAGGCTTTGTTTTGCGGGAACAGAGGTCTTCGACTTTAATATCAGGTAATATATATGGAGATCTCTCTCTTTCACGGTGTGTCTATATGTATCTTATATACATAGTCGCACACTGTCCAGTAAACCCCCACTCTCCCTCTAAATATAAATTTATATATTATATGAGTTGGTGTAACCCATTAGAAAAGGGATTTGATTCGATTTACGTTGTCAATTAAAAAATAAAAATTAAAAGGAACGATCACTTTATTTAGTTTTACAAACGAATTAGAGTTCCTTTATTATTATTAAAATGAATTAAAGTTATTTTGTATCCCCAAATAAATTAGAGTTCAATTGGTCATTTTTGTTGCCATATAAAGTGCCACCCGAACAATCTATTCATACCAGGCACTTTCCATGCAGCCAAACAGCCCCTTCTAAGAGCAATCGACATTCAGAAGGTGGGATTAACTGGGCCCCAACTCAATAATTGAAATCTACAAGAGGTGGTGGCGGGCTAAAGTTTCTTTCCCACACATAGTTTTGTTGCCGAGTACAACTCCAAAACTCAGAAGACTTCTCATCTTTTTGGCCGTTATGAGCCAACTTGCATTATGGTCTCTTCCCATTGTTAAAAGCGCGTTTGGGACCAATCACAGATCACTCGCCAAAAAAACAAAAAAAAACCCATCTATCATTGATTATTTGATCAGTTACAGAAATGCAAAATTTATAGCTAACTTTTTTCATTATGTCTGTCAAATTAAAATTTTAATGAGAATTTTTTATATTAAAAATATTCAAGTTTGTCGAGGTGAAGTAATTTTGAGTGATATGTTAAAAAATGTGATCAAGTTGTGCGATTTTTGGATATTTTTAGCTATTCAAGCGTCACTAATCACTGTATTTACCATACACAAAGTTTGGATTTTTTAAAAATGTGGTTTGGGTACATGTGTCATTAGGTAATATACTAGAGTTTAGTGGGTAGGCCACGTTTTGGATATGCTCGACTCTTCTGGCAGTGGAGACTCGCCTGGCCAACTTGTTTCCTCAATTTGGATTTAAGCTTAGAGTCAATATTTTTTTTCCCGGAAAGTAAGCTTAGAGTCAATATTAGATTGTTTGTTAAGGTTCAAAGAATCACATTCTTCTTCATTGCTTTGATGGGTATTTGACCCTTTTGTCAGATTTGATTTGTGAAAGACTTTCTTTTAAGGTTTATGGAAGCAAAGATTGAATTTTTTATGTGAGTTCTTCATTTGGTTCAAACATAAAATCAGAGTATCAGTTGTTTCTATAACTGCAATGGCATTTAAGAAAGTTGGTTTTATTGTTGCTGTGGTTTGTTCTGTCCTAGTGGGAGTTGTGTCTGCCGAGCCAAGGTTGGAAGTTGAAATTGAGGCCTTGAAAGCATTCAAGAACTCGATCGCCAATGACCCACTTGGAGCTCTTGTGGACTGGACTGATGCCAAACATCACTGCAACTGGTCTGGAATTGCATGTGATCCTTCCTCAAATCATGTCATTTCAATTTCTCTGGCCGAAATGCAGCTCAAAGGTGCAATTTCTCCATTCCTCGGAAACATTACCAGCCTCCAGGTTCTTGATTTATCTTTAAATTCTTTCATAGGACACATTCCACCTCAGCTTGGGCTTTGCTCACAGCTTTTGGATCTAATCCTTCATGAAAATTTTCTTTCCGGTCCAATTCCACCAGAGCTAGGAAACCTTAGAAATTTGCAGCAACTAGTCTTGGTAAGTAATTTCTTGAAAGGAACCATACCTGATAGAATATGCAACTGCACGGCCTTGCTTGCACTCGGTCTCAACTTCAACAATCTTACTGGTACAATCCCATCTAACATAGGAAATTTGGTTGATCTTCAAATTTTTCTTGCTTATGATAACAGCTTGGTTGGTTCTATACCTCCTTCCATTGGTAGGTTGAAAGCCATGCAAGCATTTGACCTGAGTGAAAACCATTTGTCAGGAGTAATACCTCCACAGATAGGGAATTTGTCAAACTTAGAAATTCTTCAGCTGCATTTGAATTTCATAGGTGGCAAAATCCCATCTGAACTTGGTCATTGTAAGAAGCTTTCAATTCTAAACATTTATACCAATAAATTCACTGGAGGCATTCCTCCTGAGCTTGGAAATTTGGCTAACTTAGAAGTCTTAAGGTTACACAGGAACAGGTTGAATTCCACAGTCCCAGTCTCCTTGTTCCAAGCTAAATCAATAACCATTTTAAGACTCTCAGAGAATGAGTTAGCTGGAACTATACCATCTGAAATTGGGACTTTGAGATCATTACAATATTTGGCCCTTCATTCAAATAGGTTCACTGGGAAGATCCCTTCGTCTTTGACAAACTTGACAAATGTAACATATTTGTCCATAAGCTCCAATCTCCTCACAGGGTCACTTCCATCAAATATTGGATCTCTGTATAATTTGATGAACCTAACCCTGCACGATAACTTTCTTGAGGGGTCTATTCCATCCAGTATCACCAATTGTACACGTCTTGTTACTATCAGTTTAGCATATAACAGACTGACTGGGGAAATTCCTAGGGGCTTGGGGCAGTTGCCAAATCTGACGTTCCTATCTGTTGGGGTAAATAAGATGTCTGGTGAAATTCCAGACGACCTCTTCAATTGCTCAAATCTTTACAGACTAGACTTGGCCGTCAACAATTTTAGTGGATCATTGAAACCAAGTATGGATAAACTCTTTAATCTCCAAATGTTGCGACTTTTTTCAAATTCATTTACCGGGCCTATCCCAAGAGAGATTGGAAACCTTAGTCGTTTGTTGTCCCTAGAACTTGATAGAAATAGTTTTTCAGGCCTAGTTCCTCCTGAACTTTCAAAACTCTCTCTCCTGCAAGGGCTTTTTCTGCAATTCAATACGCTGGAAGGCACAATTCCTGAAAAGATTTTTGAGTTGAAACAATTGACTTATCTTCAGCTGCAGCATAATAGGTTCACCGGCCCCATCCCACAAGCTGTCTCAAAACTTGAGTTGCTTTCATATTTGGACCTCAGTGGCAACAAGCTCAATGGATCAATCCCAAAGAGCATGGCACGGCTTCACCAATTGATGGTTTTGGATCTCTCACACAATCGTCTCAGTGGATCTATTCCAGGGTCAGTGATTGCAAATATGAAAAATTTGCAGATATATCTGAATCTTTCCTACAATTCCTTGAGCAGCACAATTCCGGTAGAGCTTGGCATGTTGGAGATGGTACAAGCCATTGACATCTCTAACAATAATCTATCAGGTAACATTTCTAGAAAAATTGAAGGCTGCAGAAATTTGTTTTCTCTTGATTTGTCAGGGAACAACCTTTCTGGTCCAATTCCTGTTGAAACTTTTACTCGGATTGCTATGCTGACGAGTTTGAACCTGTCAAGAAATCAGTTAGATGGTCCCATTCCTGAAAATTTGGCAAATCTAATGCAACTAAACTCCCTCGATCTTTCTCATAACAAGTTCAATGGCAGCATCCCTGAGAGGTTTGCCAATCTTTCAACCTTGAAACATCTCAACCTTTCCTTCAATAAACTTGAGGGCCGCGTTCCAGGAACTGGCATTTTCAGGAACTTAAGTGCATCTAGTTTGCTAGGAAACTCGGGCCTCTGTGGAACAAAAAATTTCGACCCTTGCAAGAAGAACCGGTTATCCAAGAAGATTGTACTAATTCTTGTGGTACTTGGTTTTGCTTCTCTACTTCTAGTTCTAGTTTTGGCATTTTTGGTACGTGAGCGATACATCAGAAAGCAAAAAACAGAAGCAGAAGACTCTGAGAAACTAGAACCAGATTACACTTCAGCATTGACCCTCAAGAGGTTCGATCAAAAGGATTTGGAACAAGCTACCGACTTCTTTAGCGAAGAAAATATTATTGGAGCCAGCAGCTTGAGCACTGTATACAAGGGTAGATTGGAAGATGGGCAGATTGTTGCAGTAAAGAAATTGAATTTACATCAGTTTCCAGCTGAGTCTGATAAGAGCTTTTACAGAGAAGCCAAGACCCTGAGCCAACTGAGGCACAGGAATCTAGTGAAGGTATTGGGCTACGCATGGGAAAGTAGGAAATTGAAGGCTTTGGTTTTGGTATACATGGAAAATGGTAACTTGGAGACCATTATACATGATCCTTGGGTGGATCGTTCAAGATGGACACTGTCCAAGAGAATTGATGTTTTAGTTTCTATTGCAAGTGGAATGGTTTACTTGCATTCAGGTTATGATTTCCCCATAGTTCATTGTGACTTGAAGCCTTCTAACATTCTTTTGGATGGAGAATGGGAGGCTCGTGTGAGCGATTTTGGGACAGCTCGAGTGCTGGGTATTCATCTCCAGGATGGAAGCAGCCTCTCTTCTACATCAGGATTCGAAGGCACTATTGGCTACATGGCACCAGGTAACATTTAACTGTGTAATCTGCATTATGAAGTTCATCTATATGAGTTTACGTGTTTACTGAGTTATCTAAACAGTGCTAATTAATAACATAGTTGCAACTAGTCCTGATATGAGAGGAAATTTTGCATTTCACATATCCTAGATTAAATTTAAAATTGGGATACTGCTTCTTGAATAGTTTTCAAGCACACTGTCTGTGCTTTTTCCTTGAAAAAAAAAAACCATGCATTTCACCCTCATCCTTAAGTTGGACTTCTTATAAAATTTGATTATAGATACATTTCAGTTTTTTAAGTATAATTGGAAAATATGTACTATATTTCACATCAAAAATTTTCAATTGAAATGATCAAATGTAGATAGGCAAGTCATGGTTCACTTTACAATTCTGTTGTAACAATGTGGTTGCTTTAATTCTTGGTTCTTACTCCACTGATATTTTGATCAGAATTTGCATATATGAGGAAGGTTACAACTGAAGTCGATGTGTTCAGCTTCGGGATAATAGTAATGGAGTTCCTGACAAAGCGAAGACCGACAGGACTTGCAGAAGAGAATGAATTGCCAATCACTTTGCCTCAACTTGTGGAGAAAGCCCTTGCAGATGGAATCAAAAGTATGCTTCAAGTTGTAGACCCTGATCTAGTAGCTTCAAATTACTCCGAGCAGGATGTAATGAAGGAGCTCCTTAACTTGGCCTTGTCATGCACCTGTCCTGATCCCGAGGACCGACCCAACATGGATGAAGTGCTGTCTTCCCTTTTGAAGCTAAGCAAGATCAAGATGGCGTCAGCGTCATGACTGCATATGTTTTCCTCACTCAAGCTTATGGCATGAGATGATCAGTTCAGAAGCCAAAGAGCATGAAAACTTTTAATTATCAGTCAGCTACTGCCATTTTCATTGGCTGAATAATGTGCTTGTAATTTTGTTTAAATTTTAGTGATTTGGTAATTTGAAAATGTTATTAGTCCATTTAAAAGAAGAAGAAAAAAAGTTTCCAACTCCTGGAGCATTCATCCATAATGCTTATGACTACGATAAATTCGATCTCTAAAATATCTAATGCCATCATATATATGTACTCTTGGAAATTTCCGTCTGCTGTTAACATTCACCTTCAACAGAGTTGGAATTTCCCAGACTCCATTTTCGGTTGATGCTTTTGCTTTCTAGCTGTGGTTCGTAGTTGAAGTCTTTTTTGAGCTATAGTGTACCTTTTTATAGCTGCTGTTTTGTTTTTTCTTGTGGTTCAGTGGCTGAGAACTTCTTCTGAACGGGAGAGGATTGTGTGATTTTGTTTTGAAAATTGACAGAAAAGAGGTTTTAATAACTAGTCCTGTGTTTTTTAAAATGTGTCTGTTAGTCTATAAAATTAAAAAAAAAAAAAAAAAAAAAAAAAAAAAAGTATAAATAAGCTAGCAGATTTTTTTTTTTTTTTTTTTTTTTTTTTTTTTTGGTGACAAAGACTAAATATGAAAATCCAATTTTACCCTTTTGATTTTCATTTTGCTCCCCACTTTTTTTACCCTTTTTGATTCCCATTTTACCCCTCCTCCCTCTCTCTCCCTCTCTCTCTAGGGTTAGTCCTCCTTCCGGCGCTTGTGTTGCCACTGAGCAAAGTCATACTGCAAAATTTACCATGATCTTACAACTAGCTACTTCTGACTCATCATGGATCTTCAATCTCCTCATTCTTATATATATATTGCTTCAAAGCCACGCTCATGGGAAGAAAATCTTTTTGAATTGTTTTGTTCTAGCCGGATTCTATAAGAAGGTGGAAACCGAAGCGATGGTCAGCATTAGAGATCAGATTCTTAAGGAATAGAGAAGCTTAGCAGACAACTGTTAGCAATCATTTCATTCATTCTCTCTATATAGGTCAATACATGTCTCTCCATTCTGCGACTGTAGTCTTGGTCGGTCGGATATACATGTATGTATGTATTGATTATATAGTTTATATTTTTTTAGTTAAATAAATAAATTATTTATTTGGTTATGGATTTAATATTGAAAGAAAATAAATATATTTGTGGCCGGTGATGTGATATTGATATTTGCTACTCTTGATTGGGTTCCTCCTGAATCCATCTGATGATTTTTTATCCACCAAGATCTCTGAGGCCTCTTTTTCGATTTTTTTTTTTCCTATATCAATTTCTTTTTTAAAAACAATTATTTTGTGGTTTGTAATATATATATATGGGAATGTATAAAAATTCAACAGATCTTGGTTCTGGCATAATCCATGATAATTGAAATAAATAATAATTACAAATATTATATTAAAAATTATTTAGAAAATTCATGTTAATTGTCCAACACAGAATGATGCGAGGCACAAACAATTATTTGGCTAGAATTGTTTATCTCAACCAATGGCGATCACAAGATTTCCTTCTTATTCGTCCAGATGGTGTAGTTGCCATTGATTGTAAGTTGAATGCACAGTAGTTGATATATTTATATATATATATATATATATATTAGAAAGCTAATCACAATTTTACACAAATAAAACAAAATGGTCATTTTACATGGCCGGTATCTATAGTTATTAATTTATTCAACCGAAGTGAGGGTATTATCATCATTTTATACCGACCTATTTGCACCAAATTAATAATATAAGGATGTTTTATACCACAAAAGAATCTTTTTGCAGTTAATCCTTTTACAAAATTAACAAATGGAAAGAGAAAATAAATTAGAATTCAAAATTTTTTTTTTTTCCTATTAAAATGAATTAGAGTTCTTTTTTCCACCAAAATGAAGTAGAGTTCAATTGGTCATTTTTGTTGCCATAGTAACAGTGCACCCGAACAATCTATTGATACCACTTTCCATGCAGCCAAACGGTCCCTTCTCAGAGCCATTCAGACGGTGGATTAGGTGGGGACCGCCAAGTCAATACTTGGGCTAAAATCTCTCCCCCGCGCCAGGTACAACCCATTGCATAGTCTCCTCACACTGCAAAAGCGGGTTTGGCACACCTACTTGTACAATTTTTAACTTTTTAGTGGAAATTTTGCATCACTCATTTGTAGCGACCATTTGTACCGATCTTGATCTTATTAACAACAGATTTGCGTTTCAGACCAACCACATTGATCACTTATCAATTAACTACGCAAAACACACGCAGTTCTATTACTGATCATTTGATCAGTTACAGACATGCAATATTTATAGCAAACTGTTTTCCTTATATCTGTTGAATTAAATTTTTAATGAGAAAGTTTGACATTGAAAAAAAAAAAAAAAACCAGATTTACAGCGGTGAAGTAACTGTGAAAATTTGATAAAGTTGTGCAATTTTTGGTTCGATATGAAAGGTGGGTTGACTAGGTTTTAGATTTTTACACTTCATATTTTATAGCTATTCAAGCTTCACCAATCACTTATTTAGTTGGAGAATGTTCGAAATAAAAGAGAACGAGCTCAGACTGAACACAAAGTTCTGAAAATGCAAGAAATTCCTTCTCCACTTTCCCTCTCTAGAATTCTTACACCTCAACCCAAAAAAGATCCCCCTTCATTTCATTCCATCTCCTATTTATAGATATTTACAAGATATTTACAAGATATTTACTAATTGCTGGATCTGGGCCTATTCCTTCGTAAGCCTTAGTCACTTTTGATGGGCTTACTCTCGTTCGGCCCATATGGCAGTGTCCTTCTATGGGCTGGCCCAGCTGTACGGACTGAGTGCTATGTTTGCGAGGCGGATCTGGCCCATGTCATCCGAGGCCTCCTCAACTGCCCCCATAATTGCCCCTTATTTAATAAGGGGTAATTATTGATGGCGTCTCATCATGATGTTGACGGCTCGAGATAACCACGTGGGGGAGTGGACGGTCAGATCCAGCATCAATGTTCCGGGGCTCGAGGGATTTCTCGCCTTCCCGACGCTTCGGCCCTCGGGCCCCCTCGCCTTTATAATGCTCTAGAATTCCACTTCACTTCCCTTTACCGTCTCCATCATCAGCCAAGTCTCTCTCTTTTCTAGAACAGTGCTAAGCTTTCCTTGGTGAAATTCTTCAAGAGTCATTCTTCCAGCGATCTTGCAGTCCTCCGAGGTTAGTTTCGTTCTTTTTACTTTCGGCAGGCTTCCATTTACCCCCTTGTAGATTCTTCTATCACTTCCACCATGGTTGTAGATCTGGATGTTCTTCGTATGAGACTTAGACTTCCTGACAACATCGAAGTTAGGGTTTGCCCCCAAGACGTTAACATTACGACCGGCGCCGGCCTCCTGCCCGGCGAAGTCTTATTCACGAACCTTCAATTGAATGTTGTTAGGTTCCCTCTGCACCCTTTCTTTAGTTATGTTTTCAATAGATTGGGGATATCCCCTCTGCAGGTCAACCCCAACTTCTTTAGAATCATATCTGTTATGCTCTTGTTGATGCGTGACAGAAATCTGGACCTCGACCTCATAGACCTCCTTCTGTGCTATAAGGTGAGTAAGATCCGTATTAACGAGCCCTTCTACCACCTCTACCCGTTCGAGAAGATGTCCATATGTACTGACACAATAAAATCTGAAAAGGGTTGGAGGGATAGCATAGTGGGCATTAGTGGGGCTTGGTCTTCGCCGGCTGCAGAGGGTTACCCAATCCCGAGCGCCTTTGGTGTCTGCTCTGTCTCCTCCTATAAAAAATTCAAATCCCATAAACATGACTGCCCCTGTGAAACATGCGTTCCTCGTTTTTGCACTTACTTATGCCGCTCCTTGGGAATACCTTGTGATGACTTGAGCTATAGTGTTTGCAGGGATAGGAGTAACTACTTGAAGAGATACGTTCTGAACGATATTCCTTCCTGCTCAGATCTCCTCACTTTAGACAACCTCTTAGTGATCTCATCACTCGGCTACAACATGAGCAGACTTCAGATTCCCTCTTTTGGCAGGAGGAAAAATACTCCCCCAGCCACTCCTGCTGCTGGGGCGACCTCCTCTCCAGCGTCAGCTTCTTCTTCAGCCACCATATCTGACACTGTCCCGAGCGCAGTGGCTACTAACCCTGTTGCCAGCGCCCCTGCTGCCAACCAGAACGCGCCCTCCCCAGCTACCATAGCTCCTGCTGCTGCGGGGGGCGGTCGGGACAAAGAACGAGGCAAAAGGCCTCATCCTGACAGTGAAATCGATCCTGAGGAGGAGCCTCTCATTAGAAGGACCCGGGTCTCTGGGCCGGGTACTCTCTTGCACCGAGCGATCAGAGCTCCTTCTCCCTCTGGGCCTCCTGCAGCTGGTGGCTCTGCTTCTGCTTCAGGCCCCCCTTCTATCCCCAGCTTACCGCCATGGGCCCCTCGGTACACCCGAACGGATGGGACGTTCGTGAAACCGAACGAGACCATGCTGAAGGATGGCCAGACCGCTATGGCCTACTACAGGAGCATGTGGACTCCGAAGGACCTTGAGGCGGCAAAGGGCCTTTCCCAGAAGGACGTGTTCAGTCGCTTTCCCCAATCTGCTATGGAGGTGACTTTTATTTTCTAACTCATGAATTCTCTTATATTACTTGGTCTTGCCTTCGCCCGTTCTGACTATTGGTTTAACCGTTTTTATTGTGCACCTATGCAGACATTGTTCGGGATGATGGCCATGCAGAAGCAGGTGGAAATGGGGAACGCCAGGGCCCGAAAGTATTCTGATAGCCTGGAGGTGGCTAATAAAGAAAACGACCTCCTTGCCATGAAGAATACTGAGGTGCTGGTTCGGCTTGACAAAGCCGAGCAAGAGAGAGATGTCCTGAAGAAGGAGAATGATTCCCTTCAGGATGAGAAGGACGCCCTCCAGCTTGAGAAGAGCGTTTGGCAGACTGAGCGGGAATCAATTAGAGAAGAGAAGGCAGAACTCCAGCGCCTTCTAGCTGATGCACAGTCTGCTCGGATGGCTTTTGAAAAAAGAGCTCTGGACGAGCGTACCGCTCTGATCGACGTGATCAGCAGAGTGGGTGGTGGGATGCTGGCCCTTCACGCTCGGTTCTCCAGGGTTGGTGCTCTTCGGTATGCTC